AGGCACCACTGTACTGCCAGGGTGCCCTGCAGCTTCCCTTCCCTCTTCTTGCTCCCCTCCCCTGTAAAAAAGCCACCTTGCTTTCCAAGTCTTCATTTCCATGACTTTACCGTTGAGGCTCCCACTATCCCAGCCAGATCCTGGAGAGCCAATGTAAGCATGTCAATCAGACCGATTTCTCAGCCTTGCCGTTGACAAACTGAGCCCTTTTGCCAAGTTCCCAAATCAGAAGCCAGAAGGGGCAACGTTTGAAAGTCTGGGATTGGCTTCACAATGTGCTCCTTTCTCCTCCCGAGAATTTCCTGCTTCCTAACCCCAGCAGGCAGTAAGCCAAGCCGCAATGGAATAGAAAAGGCTGGCAAACTCTCCAGGATCCCTAGAGAACAGTGGCTGCTTCACATGTGCCTGATTTTTTTTGGGGGGGGGAGAGATAAAGTCATCCTCCTTAACCCTTTCCAGCCTTTGCAAGCCGTTGGAGATGTAGAGAAGATGTGGAAGCTGAGATGTAGCATGAGCAGGACAGGCCACAGGCCCATTCCCGCAAGCCCTTGGCCGTCGCGGCTGGGGGATTCTGGGAGTTGTGGTCCAGGAAAGTATTTATTAGGATCATGAATTCGGCAAAGATCGAGAGACAAAATTCCCCCAAAGAATGGAAAGCAAAAATGTCATGGGACGGTAGACGGGTGAACAAGGTGACAATGGCCCAATTATCACGTTAAGAAGAGAGCTTCCAATAGGTAGCCCCACACTTCCTATGAGGTGCAAAGTAGAAGGAGCCTCAGTCGTTGAGAAAAGAAGACTGAGGGGAGATAGGATAGCACTCTTCAAATACTTGAAAGGTAGCCATACATCACCTATATGGAGAATTAGTGCAGGGAAATCGCCCCAGAAGGAGACCACAGCTGCAATACAAGGACATCCGCAAGTGGGATCTGAAGGCCTTAGGAATGGACCTCAACAGATGGGAAATCTTGACCTCTGAGCGTTCAGCCTGGAGGCAGGCATTGGATCACGGCCTCTCCCAATTTGAAGAGACCCTTGTCCAGCAGGCTGAGGCAAAGAGGAAGTCACAAAACCAGCAAAACCAGGAAGCTGGACAGGGGGCAGATTGTCTTTGTCTTCAGTGTGGAAGGGAAGGTCACTCTCGAATTGGCCTTTTCAGCCACACTAGACGCTGTTCCAAATCCTCAATACAGAGCACATTACCATAGTCTCTCGAGACTGAAGGATGCCTAACAACTAACAGCAACAGGCATACAGAGAAGGGACAGGATCTGTTCTTGATCATCTCAGAGTACAGGACACGGAATAATGGGCTCAAGTTACAGGAAGCCAGATTTTGGCAGAAGACCAGGAAAAAACTTCTTAACTGTTAGAGCAGCATAACGAAGGAACCCATGACTGCGGGAGGTGGTGAGTGCTCCAACGCGGGAGGCATTCAAGAGAAAATGGGACAACCCTCTATCAGATCTGCTTTGCTTTGGATTCCCGCACTGAGCAGGGAGGGGGTTTGGACTTGATGGCCTTATCGGCCACTTTCCAACTCCATTATTCTACGATTCAGTCAAAGTTGATAGGCCAAGATCCAGTGACTCAACAGACTGTAAGGGTCCACCTAAATCCAGAAAGTTGCCATGACCGACCCGGTTTCACTCTTGAGCAACTCGTTGCTTGCTTATTTACTTATTTACTGCTACCTTTCTACTCCCTTGTGTTTCTTTGGAGGAGCTGAAAAGCAGCTCGCCTTCACCCGATTGTATCCTCACAACAACTCTTGTGAAGTTGATCGGGCTTAGCAAGAGTGGCTGGCCAAAGGTCGCCCGATGAGTTTCATGGTCAGGTGGGGATTTGAACCCTGGTCTCCTAAATATGGGTCCAGCACTTTGACCGCTGCACCACACATGCTCCTGAACTCTGCTTGCTGCCTAGACCTTCCCCACCTCCCGATGAGAGATGAGCTCTGCTTCAGAGGACGCTCTCTTTCTTGTCCACCGATGGGTTGATTCAAGGTGGTTTCTTGGACGGGCCCGCTTGTTTTCCTTTCTTTCTTTCTATAAATAGACAACCCACCCAAAGTCCTCATCCTGGAATCAAAAAAGAGAAGTCGTTCTGGAAGAAGGGCTGAGTCATGGCGGGGTGCGGCCTCTTGAAATAATACACACTCTGCCCACACGCTGAAATAATTCTGGCCAAATCAGATGCATGGCTGGGATTAGCTATGCAATCGCTTTGAGCTCCTCGAGTCTCTCTATGCTGCTGCTTCAGACGCCGGAGAAACCTAATCCGTCGTTTCAGACCCATTTTGCTATGCAACTTGAGACTCCCCATTAAAATGAGATTATTTTGATTTTGAAATAAGCCAAGAAGAGCCTGCTTAGAGCACAGTGACAAATGACAGAAGCCAGCAGAAATATTCTGAGGCTTAAGTCATGGAAGGTTAAGCACTGAACTCACATTATAATGCCATTGTGTCTCTCTCCACCCAAGAGGTCAGACGTGTGTCATCCATACTATGGACCGCTGGATGGAGAAAAATGTGTGCCCTTTACGTTAACACTAAGGGCACAGCAGGTTCTTAAAGAGGGCTGTGGTCCTGCTTAGAAAAACCTTGCCCAAGAAAACTGACTAATAAGTCGATTAAGCCTGCCTACGTTGGCATGTGGGATAAATATTTGCATAGCGATGTGTCTTGGAACAGGTGTCCTTCACCATGGCAGAGTGACAAAGCTGCTTAGAAAAACTTCATTCTCCATTTTTGTGATCCTCGTAACAAGATGCTGACCAACCAGTGTTTTCTAAGCACTCACCTTACCCCTACATCGACACAGGCATAAATTAAACCAACCCCACCATTCACAAATCAAATGGAATTGAATTGATTTAGGAAGCAGGGTATTAAAAAAAAAAAACCTTATTCTCCAGTTTTTTTAAAAAAAGTACTTTGCAGCCCAAATAAACAGGGATGGGGATTCACGGATAGCAGTCAAGTTGAACTTAAATTGCACTAGTGACTTGACTCGGACTGGACTCTCGGTGACTCGTGACTCGACGTGCAACCCATTTGCCCGAGTCGTGTTGTGATATACCGGCACATGCACAGAAACAATGGGTCGGTTCCAGGAAGGGAAGTCAGCCCGCTGTCTCTGCCAAGACTTGCTATCATCCCTGCAAATAAATCAATTTCACCCGTATGTCATGGGCTTGGGAACTGATAAATCAATTTAAAGAATGCTAAAATAGATTTAAGTGCAGGTCTTATTGCCAGTGTGACCGTACCCTTGAATGTAGTTAAGTTTCTAAAAAGCAACAGTTATTAGTTGGCGACACCTTTTAAATCAATGATGACTCCAACAGAATCACAACTGATTGATTTAAAGCTTCATTCATTCATTCATTTAAAAATGAATCAGGCATGACTCTGAAGATAGGAAAGTTCCAATATTGTTTCCCATATTAAAGTATGATTGGTGAGAATGTGGTAATATGCAATTCTTTGAGTTTAATCAATTCAATCAATTAGTTAATTTAAAAATGTATCCCCAAGATGCAGAGCCTCATGCCCTAAAATTATTTGCTACAAAAAAATTCCAACTTGTTTACTGCAGCTGCTGTTTTCATTGTCCAGTACAGCTGTTTCAGAGGCAAATGACTGTGAGAACAGTTTAATTATTAATTACAAAAATCTAAGAGTGTCATGTTTACTGAAGCCTGTGAGATATATGAATGAACGTTCTTGCTGATGATGGTTGAAAAGCATTGGTTCCCAACCTTGGGTAATGCAGGTTTCTTGGACTGCAACTCCCAGAAGCATTCACCACCAGCTGTGCTAGCCAGGATTTCTGGGAGTTGAAGTCCAAGAACACCTGGATTACCCAAGGATGGGAATCACTGGTATAAAGGGATATTTCTTTGTTACATAGGTTGATACAGATCTATAGGAGGGCTGGGCCTGTATCACTCTCCAGCTGTTATTGGATTATGCACCAAATGCCAATCATCCTGGACAACGATTGGGCATGATGGGAGCTGTAGTTTAAGACGATCAGTGGCCAGCTGTAGTTTAACTCCAATACCAGTGGGAGGACAAAACTTTTAGAAGTCCAGCTGTTCAACTCATGCACTAATTCCCACTTTCATCTAAGAAGATAGGGATGTGCCATCAAGTCGGTTCTGAATTATGGCGACCCCTTTCAGTTTTTTCCAGGTAGAGAATACTCAGAAGTGGTTTTCTACTCCCGCCTTCTGGGAATGGGAAACTGGGGCTGTGCCCATTGCCCAAGGCCAGAAAGACTGGCTCTCCTCATAAGAGGCACAGTGGGGAATCAAACTCCCAACCTCTGGCTCTGTCACCCTATATTATGTCACCTGAAACAGTCTACTTTGCTATGTTTCATGCTAATACTTAACCCAGACATTTAAAAATACACCATTTTCTGTGGCTTATTTGGAACCCTGGCATAATTGTGGCCTATCCAGAATCCTACCCCAAGGATTTTGCTGTGGGTGAGTCCCAGCCTAAACCAGCTTAGGTATCCCTTGCCTCCCAGCATCTTCCATCACTCCTCAGCCACGTCTTCTGCATTGACAGAAGAGCCCTGTGGAAGCTCTACCTTGTCATGACAATGTCTTGTGTTCTTCCTAGAATGAAAATCCGGGCCCGGGATTCTATAACGTCACCCATCAGCCTGCACTTCTCAACAATGTCTCCCAGTCTCGGAAAGGAACCTGTTTTTTCCCTTCTTTGGTAAGGGAAAGAGTTGATTCTTTTTTTTTAAAGTGGGGAGGGCAAATACGAATGTAGCATGCTGAAAGCAATTGTCAGTCTTTTTAACCAGTGAGGGTTTTAAATGCTCACACCTTATTTCCCCAACCCTGCTGTTCACGAATCCTTGTCATAATGTTGGGGAGTGTGTTGTTGTCGAGAATAGATCTGTGTGACAGAGATAAGTATGGGCTCTCTGCTACAATTAAAGACAAATTCTACCTTCAAGCCTAACCTCAGAAGCAAATTCTTGCAACATGAGTAGGACGTGGCTTCCTACATTTAAGCGTGGCACCTTCTAGGTGGGGCCATTCCTCCTACATTGGGAAATAATTTTTGAGAACAGAAAACACAGGTACTTATTTGCACAGATAGCACCCATTCTCAGAGTTTAGACACGCATCGCTTTGGTCCAAGGTGGATTTGGCTTTGTGGGAGGGGCATGGGTTTTCGTCAGCTGAAGACCAGCTCCCATGATGTCCCTTTCTGATGGAGTAATAAAAAAAAGCTAGTGAAAGGATTCAGTAAATAATGAGTACAAGGATGATTGTGTGTTCCACTTGATAGAGGACAGTCCTCTGTTTGAAAGCATCCCCTTTCTCAGGTGTCACCAGTCTTCACAGATCTGGGAGAAGAAGCACACACCCATCCTTAGACCTTCATGGACTTTCCCCCCAACTCCTTGAAAGATATTTTCTTACAAAATGGGATTTTTCAAAACTAAAAGAAGAAAAAAAACCTTTAGAAGACATTTTTTTCTAATTAGTGTGGTTTAGGGCCCTAGAACTGTTGGGAGGTTCCTTAAAACATGGCAAAATTGCCCTCTAAAGCAGTGATCCCCAACCTTGGGCATCCAGATGTTCTTGGACTACAACTCCCAGAAGCCTTCACCACCACCTCTGCTGGCTAGGATTTCTGGGAGTTGAAGTCCAAGAACAGCTGAAGGCCCAAGGTTGGGGACCACTGCTCTGGAGTACTCAAGGGGCCTTCTTGAGCCCCACTGTCTAATTCTTTAATAGGAGATCAGGGCATTCTGAAGGATGTTGCATCAGGGCCCCTGCATGCAACCTACAAGCCCTATGTTGCTGACCTCTGCTTTATTTGAAGAATCAGACTGTCTCGGTCCCAGAGGATTTCCTCTATTATAATTTGTCTATGTAGTTGCACTCTGAAACTGGCAGCTGCAAGACCTTATTCCTCTCTCTTATGCCGTTTTGGCTGTCAAGTGGACTTAGCCTGCAAATTATAGGTGTACTATTGATATACAAAGATGTTCAATGATAGCTTTGTTACATATGTTTGGAAATATCCAATTAGACATGGGGGGAGGGGAATAATTCATTATTATTATGGTAACGGTTGCAAGATTGAGATCTGCAAGGAACTGGAAGAGTAAGAATCAGTTTAATATAGAGAATTGGTATAAAGAAACGTGGAATACAGCGATCAACGAAAAATTAATGTAAGAATTGAAAGTCAGAATGGGAATATTGAGATCAAATTATTTTAAGACTATATGGAATGTTTTTCTAACACATGGATTTGAGAAAGGGAAAGGTGATACTCCAGGACAAGAATCATTATATTTCTGGAGAGAAATTATATAATAATAATATAGTACCTTGGGACTTCGGAGCTGGAAGACATCTTATGGATCATTAAGTCCAGCCACATCAAGGAAGACTAGTGAGGAATTGAACTCCCAACTCAGCAGCCACAGACCTAAACCACCAAGGGGGGAAATACCCCAAGGCTGGTGGGGAGCAGTGGACGTATAATGTACTATGACTTTTGATTTGATCCTGAGTTCCTGTTCTTATTGTTAGTTATTTTTCTTTTCTTTCATCCATTATTTGTCATTTTATTGTTTAATCTTAGAATAAAGGGGGGGGACGGGGCAGAAGCTTGTCATCATTCAAGGTGTGATTCCACATTTTCAAATCGTCCAAGCCTCCCGATTAACCTTTCTGATCAGACAAGTCAGAGGCTGATGTAAAGAAAGTTGGCTTCCTTGCCTTCAGAAGCCAAATACATGAAAACACATGCTTTTCATTGTTTTCACAGGACGTACGGATCGCTCAGCAAAGGATCCCTAGCTATCCAGCGGCAAACGCCTACAACCTTCCGCCTACTTTGCAATCCAAGAGAGACTTTAGCCTGGGATATTCCAGTATGTTTCAGCGACCAATTGCCAGGAAGATCACCAAAAAATCCACCCCAGCCCCCAATCAATATAACGTAAGATGGTCCGGTAAAAAGGTGGGACAGCATCATCTCTCTGACGATGAAAGCTGATGCAGGAGTCAAAGCGTTACCAAGGAGCAGGATAAGGAAAGCTATCCAGTAGTATTTATTCTTCCTTCTTCAGCATCTAAATTTCCTCTCATTGATTGCATTCATTCATACATCATTCCCCTGGAAATCCGTTTATTCGTTCAGAGAAGGATGACCAGATTTGATTTTTTCAGAAGAGCTGAATGTTGGAACCCATAAAGATCCGGGATGCTTTGATTCCCCCTGTTTTTCCTGTTGTGTTATTCTTTTTTCCCTTGCCATAAAACGTTTTTTAAAGTTAAAATTGTAATACATACACTGTCCAACCATCTCATCCTCTGTCGTCCCCTTCTCCTCTTGCCTTCACACTTTCCCAATATCAAGGTCTTTTCCAAGGAGTCTTCTCTTCTCATGAGATGGCCAAAGTATTGGAGCCTCAAAGTATTGGAGTCCTGCCAGTCAGCACTCAGGGTTGATTTTCTATGTTGCATATAGCATTCGTTATAATCTGCATTATGCAGCATCCACAGGGATGGGGCTTGAAACCAATTCACCACAAATACAAGAGTCCTCACTGCCACGACTTTAGGGTTAAGATTCCCCTAAGCGAAAGCTGGGGAAGTTTGCATTTTGGATTATATTTCCCAGAATGCCTCAGCCAGTGCTGGCTTCTGAAAAAGTAACTTTTCCAAGCTCCCTCTCAAATTTGGGACTGTAAGGCAACCCACCTCTCCAACATTGTGTAGTCATGGAGGAGGTTTCTCCAGGGGTTAAAATAAAGGTGTTCAAGATTGCAAAGATGCTAAGAAGCATGCTTTCTGTTCTGAACAGAAAGTGTGGATGTGTCTCCTTGTATACTTTCAGAGCAACTGGGACGACACCATGGCCGTGATGTTTATGGAGAAAGTCTTAAGGCCCCTGAGCGCCTGGTGGCAGTGCCACCTCTTAGTGAGCATGACATGAAGGACAAGGAGTTAATACGTAGTTAGCTCCGCTCTGCCTCTTGCCCTAAAGCCATTCCTTCCTTCTCAGGTCGTCATTACTGTCTGTCATCCACACCCATACTGGGTTATACTTGGCATTAAGAATAGGATAGATTGTGGGGGAAAAAAAAATCTTCCCAGAATCTCGAGTTAAGTTCTGGCCTGTGATTTATTCATTGGGATAATTGGTAAGCTTTTGAGAAACCAGGCAGGAGATGATCCAGTTGAAATGGCAGACGGGCTTTATAAGCGAGGGCCACGAGGCCAGGGAGACATACGTAATGGGAAGAAAGGACGGACCTGAGTTTCCTGTCTCTGCTCACGCTCCGGTCTCCATTTAAAAAGAAAAAAGAAAGAAAATTGGAAAAAAAGAAAGACATAGCTAAATAGAAAACAGTTACGGTACCTGAAAGACCAGCAGATTTGCTTCAGTGTGAGCCTTTGTGGGTGTAAATCCCTTTTCTCAGGGTCATAGAGAGGGAAAAAGAGATTGGTTTGCTATCATCAATCAATCAATCAATCAATCAATCAATCAATCAATCAGTTCATTCATTCATTCATTCATTCATTCATCCATCCATTCATTCATTCATTCATTCATTCATTCATTCATTCATTCATTCATTCATTCATTCAATATCTGTACCCTCCATCTGACCAATGGCCACTCTGGGCGGTTTACAACAAAAATAATTACCGCTCAAATTCTTTGTGGTCTCTCTGCTTCAAGCATGTGGGGAAAACATTCTTTGGAATATCACAAGGGGAAGAAAATTTTGGCGGGAAGCCTGCCCTCATGTTCAGTCAGAGGTTGAGAAAGGTATTTTTTTTTAAAAAAAATAAAACACCACTAACCCTGTGGGAACTGGAAACCAAAAAAAGTAACTCTCCCAGGTTCTATTCTTGCTGTGTGCTGAAAACCTAAGGCCTCCACTTTCCAGCTTCTCCGGCTCCCTTGACAGCAGAAGAATCCTCAAATATTGTCACTGTGGTCCATCTTGCAGCTAGGTTAGAAATGTTTTCCAACATGGTGCCCTCCAGAGGTATCTCCCATGAACCGCCTCCGGGCCCTTGGTGCCACTCTCTGCTTTGGGCTGTGTAGGCATACCTTTGGATCCGATTTAGACCAACCAGGGCTGACTGGAATCTGATGCAGTCCGAAACAGATGGGACTGTGATGGCTGGGGAGGATGGAAGTTGTTGCTCCCTGTACCCTGGAGGGGAAGAGGCTGAGAAAAAGCACTTTGAAAATCAGTAGCTCTCCAAGTCCACGGACGCCATTCATGTGCGAGGATATTTAAGTGCATGAGTCATTTGGGCCATTAATTGATATCCACGTCATGTGCGGATTAGAGAACCGTAATTCACTTTTTAACAAATAAATCATGATATCATGGGACCAGCCGGTTCCTGCTCTCCTGGCTAAATCACTTGGTGTAAACCCTTAATGGACTGCAACTGCCAGTTTTGTACCCTCGGTTTCCACAGCTGGGTGGATTAAAAGGCAAGAGGAGAATTTAAGACAAATGGCGGGTCGCAGCCGTAGCCGTGTTACTCTTTTGCAGCAAAGAACACAACACAGTTGGCCACAAAGCCATTTGACAAAGTGGACGACACTCTAGAAAATATTTTGCTGAATAAATCATACCAGTCACCGAGATGCCAGAAACTCTTTGTTATTTATACTTACAAAAATAACATTGGTTCCCCCTGGCTCTATGCATACTCTTTGATTTTCCAAATGTGGCGATATCTGGCATCGAAGCATCCTTAAAGCAACAACGACAATGAGCAGAGATTCTTAGAATGCCTGATTCTGCCCCATCACATCCTCCATGCCAGCTTATAGCTTTGCACAAAATGTTAGTAGGACACCTGATTTGAAAAGGGATCCTGCACAATACACATTGACCCCGTTGGGAACAAGGATTGTATCCTAAAAGGTGGGTCCGTCCAAGTCCTTTTAAAAAGAGAGTCTAAATTTGCTGCAGGAGAAGCAGCCTTGCCATACACTTCACAAGCTGATGTGAGATCATCCTCTAGATGATGGCATAGTAAATGTTGTTCTATTGGAAGTAAATGTCAGTTTCGAAATAATTTACCGAATTAATTGCTGGAAAAGTCCGTGTGTTGCAAAACAAAACCCCACCAATTTCTGTTTTCATTTGCAGGTTTCAGTGGACTTGTCTAAACAAAATGGTGCCCAGTCGGCGTTCACATCCAAAACAAAACGAGCATTGATGCTTCATAGCAAGGACCGTGTGCCTTCTCCCTGTAAGCTCTTCTCATCCTTTACTCTTGTGAAACATTCCCTCATAACTCTTCCAGAAACCAGGGCATAAGGTGAAGAATGAGAGTCACTGATTCTCCCCACTTAGAGATAATATTACCCATTACTGCTTACTTATTTATGCCTGCTTTCACGTAATGTGTGACATATCTGTGACCTTTAAGGCCATAGGAGAGGGAAGCACCAAATACCTTCCACTGTAAGAAGGTTTTTCCCTTACAGAGCTTAGAGGTACAGTGGTGCCTCGCAAGACAATTGCCTTGCGGGACGATTAATCCTCAGGACGATTAGTTTTTGTGATCGCTGTTGGGCTTCGCAAGACTATGGTTTCCTATGGACCATTTTCACAAGACAATGGTTTTTCACCATTGGAACACATTAAATACATTTCAGTGCATTCCAATGGGGAACCGCGTTTCGCAAGACAATGTTTTCGCAAGACAGCGTTTTTCATGGAACGAATTAACATCGTCTTGCTAGGCACCACTGTAATGCTTTATTCATGATGAGGAGCCTGTTTACAAAGTAAGTCCCTGCAAAAGAAGACAGATTCTCAACCTTTCCTGCAATCTACATGTGTCAGCATTTACTGCTCGAAAATCTGAAAGAAAAGAAAAATCTGATGTGTGAACTACAGAATTTATTTATTTTATTTGTTTTATTAGATTTATACCCCACCCATCTAGACAGTCTACTCTGGGCGGCATTACAAAATTTAAAAAACAATCAAACCAGTAGCATGCAAAAAATCCAAGATGTAAAAAAAATGTAGATGTTAAAATACAAAACCTATCATCTCCAGACAATATGGCCTTTCAGCCGCCATCTTGGTTCCGCTTCACCTCGAATGTGACGTTTGGTGAGGTTTGGGGATGATGATCTTTCCACATTCCTCTTCTGTGTATGTGTGTGTCTTGTTTTAAAAAAATAGGTCATTATCGAGTGAACGAATCCTTCATTCGGCAATCACCTGTGGTGTTGGTGTCCTGCTTCAAGTCGAGAACGAGTCGTGAGACCAATCCGGAGACGCTGAGCCCCGGGCCTGCTGCCTATCAGCACCCATCTGAAGTCCCAGTGGCGCCACCCAGAAAGTTTCCTGGCCTGTGCGTTTCTGAAGTGCAATTTCAAAAGAATTTCACATTGGGTTGCCAACGAGTCCCTTTCTTAAGTAGTCAATGGCCTACTTGATCAGAAATGACACAAAAAAACACGAGTCTCAAGGTGTTCTTCCAGTTCAAAATCCAGTTATTAATCCCAACTAGAAAAGATGACCTAAGATTTATTAACTCATACTATTCATTTGTTCCAAACTCAGCAGCTGGTTTATTGAAATACTTGAAGAAAGGAAAGGGCAAAGGATGCAGAACGAGAAAGGTGTTTTAATGTTTTAAACTCATGCTAAACTTTAGTTCATGTTTTCAAACTGAAATTGCAGTGTGCTTTTAAATAATACTTTGAAATGCAGAACTAGAGTAGATCAGCAAATCAACTGTAACTTGGTAAATGAATTCTGAATGTTATGGTTGGGATTAACAAGTGGATTAGGGCTTGTGGGTAATAGTGTATCGTTGGATAATATTAAGGACAATGGTGGAGGATAAAGAATAACACCGGGTGCAGGATGAGTAGAGTAACTTCGAATGGTGAAGAGCTACAAGTTAAGTAATTAAGTAACCTTTACTGTCAATGCACAACATGTGTGCAGTGAAATTGAATGAGCCTCCATTAGTACAACCACACAAAGCACAAAACACAGAATACATTCAGATACAGAATACATCTCCAAATTTATAAACAAATCCCCAACCCCAGGAATACCGGTGCTATGCCACATACATACATACATACATACATACATACATACATACATACATACATACATACATACATACATACATACATACATACAGTATTCCACCAGTATATACATACAGTATTGTGTGTTATATTGGAACTGTGAGTCTGTTTTCCTCCAATGGGGTTATGGGGCAACCCATAATTTTTTGATTGCGAGATTGCGAGTTCGGTTCCCCCCCCCTTGTGCCTCCTGGGAGAAGAGCCAGATTGCAAGATTGCGAGTTCGATTCCCCCCCCCCTTCTGACTCCTGGGAGAAGAGCCAGCCTGGGTGGCCTTGGGCCAGCGGCACAGGCGTCCCAGGGCGCCCCCGAGAGGAAGGGAAGGGTAAGCCACTTCTGAGCATCCTCTACCTGGAAAAACCTGAATAGGGTCCCCATAAATCAGAACTGACTTGACAGCACATAGTAATGAATAACTGTTCATGACGTTTCAGATCTGGGGAGAGAAGGATGACAGAACTCTCTATGATCAATTAAAAGTGGCATTAATAGGTGTAGCCAGTGAATGGTGAACTTTTGTTTTGCAATCTATAGGATGCCCGATTTCTCTCTTCACTCAGAGCCCTTCCTCCCGCCTCGTCTCTGCCTCAAGTCCCAATAAATCTATCAGCCAGTTACTCAACCTGGTCCATTTTATGGTGACCTTCCTGTAAACAGCAAAGTCAGTTTGCTTGAGATAAGATTAAGATCTCCCCCATTAAATTCTTGCTCAGGTACTTCCCATCTCTCCCCCCCCCCGCGCGTTGCTGCCACCACCCTTGAGCCTGGCACTCTCTGCACACGTTCAAGGGTATCTTTACTACATCTCGCATTTTTTAAATGCGGGCCTTGTAGGAGAAGAAGGAGGGAGGGCTGACTTGGGCAGTGCTCAATAAACTGACATGACTAAGGAAGATGTAAATCAAAGCTGTTGAGAAGAGCACGTCCATCTATCCACGCTGTCAAATGCTCAGAGGCCAGTCCAACGCCATCCACGCTGGCAGAAAATACCAAAACTGTCAAATGCTCAGAGGCCAGTCCAACGCCCATGTATGTCAAGATGATTAATGCCTCCAGGACTTAATCTACATCTGGTACAGAGTCAATGACCAACGTGAGTTTGTACCAGATGGTTTCCGTGAATCCCTGCCACACTATTCTCACGACGCCCCTAGAACTCACCACCCAGAATCCTGTACCCACCAGACGCCGGTGTGCAAAATGGTGCCGCTGGCATGAAGGACTTGGTGGAGATGGAAATGTGGTGGAAAACTGATCCTGGATAAAGTATTTTTGTTGATACTAATGGCGAGGTTTCAACTCTTCTCCGATGTGATCATCTGGATGCACACGGGGCTCCATGAGCAAAGCTTGGCCAAGACATTTTTCTCTGTACAGAGTCAACGATTCTAGCAGTTCTCAATCCTTTCTGTCTTGTGTCCCACTAACCGCTGGATCAAAGTTCCACCATTATAGAAATTAAGAACTTACTTTCCTCCAAAAGGATATGTTTCAAGGGATTCCATTATTATACTTACCATGCATATTTTACTTACCAAGGAAATTCAGGGTATTCGGAGTGGGCGGTATCCTGTGGCCTAAAGATGGAGCAGAAGGGTTATCATATAAGTGTCATTTCCCATTGCATGTCCAGTTGTGTGGCCAATCACGCAACTAGTGCAAGAACGGGCGTATGGCAGGGAGACTGCCAGAGCAAGGGGGGATGTTTTATGTCAGTGGATCCCAACCCAGATGTTCCTGGACTACAACTCCCAGAAACCCTGGCCAGTGGTGGAGGCTTCTGGGAGTTTTAGTCCAAGAACATCTGGGGGGCCAAGTTTGGGAACCATGGTTCTAGCTGTGAGTCCTTGTTCTGATTCAGCAGGCTAATTTTTGATTTGACTTTTATGCTGTTGTAGGGACGTGGTGGCACTGTGGGTTAAACCACAGAAGCCTCTGGGCTGCAAGGTTGGAAGACCAGTCGTCGTAAGATCGAATCCACGTGACAGAGTGAGCTCCTGTCACTTGTCCCAGCTCCTGCCCACCTAGCCGTTTGAAAGCATGTAAAAAATGCGAGTAGATAAATAGGTACCACCACGGTGGGAAGGTAACGGCGTTCCATGTCTAATCGCGCTGGCCACATGACCACAGAAACTGTCTTCAGACAAACACTAGCTCTACGGCCTGGAGACGGGGATGAGCACCGTGCCCTAGAGTCGGACACGACTGGACTAAATGCCAAGGGGAACCTTTACCTTTTACTGGATGCAATTAAAACTTTGCATGTAGTTGCAGAGAAAACTTTAAAAACTCCACATTTTGATATGATAAAGCTTTGGGAAGTTCCACAGCCACTATTTGACAGGGTTATCAGTGAACCTAAGTATTTCTAACTCCATGCTGGATTGCGGCGCATGTTTCATCGCAAGCCAAAATCAGTCTGGAATAGTGATCTCCTCTTTGTTTCTTACAGGCGAAAGTATGGCTTGAATTTCTCAGCTCCAGCTGTCCCTCCACCCAAAAGCCCACCTCCACCTGGGCCCGGCCAATATGAGCTAGTAGACTATGACAGCCCTTCTAAGCATTACATCTCCAGCGCCGTATTCGTCTCCAGCACAGGCCGCTGGGCGGGTGATAAATTTCACAAAGAAATTCCCGGTCCAGGTAAAAATGCAATCCATTATTATGAAACGATTCTCTCCCTCTCGCCAGGTATTACATTTGTCGGCATGCCAATACTTGATTAATGAGACTGTCATCCTCAACTCCCTCATTAGGATGTTGAATGCCCTGGGATTTACTTCTGAGTAGTCATGCTTCAACGCGCCCTCCACGAGTCCAGGCTTAGAGGAGGACAAAAGAACAAGGCCATAGCAGACAGGAGCCTGGATTCAGATGTAACCCTGGGCTTAGGATAGAATGATAAACAAGGGTTTGCTGTGATGAAGTTTATAATCTTCACTCATACGGAAAAGAAAGAAGAGGGAGGATGGTTCCCTAAGGATGTAAGACTGTTTGTTGGTCTGCTGCTAATAAGTCTTTAGTCCTCTCCCCAAAATAACATACACACAGCAGCAGTAAACCTGGTGAAGCATTGCGTTGGATGATGCTCAACAGAGGACCCCAGCGCCACCCGATGTTACCCACCGTCTCCACAGGACCCTTCCTGTGAGACCACTTGGAATGGCGGATTTCCTGGAGCCACGCAGAAATATGCCACTCTGTGGCTCCTCACTAACCGAGCTGGGATAGCCCCTGCCCCCCCCATTCATATGTAGGGATTCCCTACCGTCCGTGATCCGCAGGCCCCCTGCTATGAAAAGGAAGCAATATACAAAATGGCAGCCATGTTAGCCTGTCTCACTGTCTGTCCCAAAGATCAAAAAAAGAGAAAGAGAGCAACGCCTTGTGGTACTTTGAACACATACACATTTATTTCAGCATGACCTGCGCATCGTGTCTGGGCAAGTGGATTTTAATCTGCCAAAGCTCACACATATTGTGCCACAATCCGTCTGTTTATGTTTGTGTTCATGGAAAGGTATATGAAATCAGACCGGCTGGTGTAATCTCAGTGGGATAAAATACCAGACCCTCAGAGTCAGGAGCTAAGAGTTTGAAGCCCACTGTGGCTCCTAGGGGAGAGGCCGGCTTGTGTGGTGGGCGGGCTCCCAGGGTGGGTGCCTGGTGGTGCCTTGCCATCCGTGAGGCCTCAACCATGCTGCAGAGTCTCGGAGCACTATCGACAGGAAAGATGGGGAAACGGCATCTGAGACATTCCACCTAGAAAATCCTACGATGGTTGCTGTTAATCCCTTCTCCCCACTACAAACAGGACTCCTTTATTCCGTTGGCCTGTTGACCTTCAATTGTTCAAAGAAATTATTATTTTATGGGACTTGGTTGTTTCCATCTAACTGCTGGATAACTCAGTGCTTTAGGTCTCTGGAGAACCGGAGGCTGGGAATTCGATTTCACACCATGCCACCCTGACAGAAGCTGGACTTGATGACCTATAGGGTCCCTTTCAGTTGTGCAATTCTAAGATGCTGATTCATGTTAGGTCCCCTAACGGCCCCAACCACATGGGTGGTGGCCGCACCTTAGACCTGGCGTTCTCCCCCGAGCGGAGAGAGGGCGGTCTGATGATGACTGACCTTGTGTCGGTCCCCTTGCCATGGTCGGATCATGGCCTAATTAAATGTAACCTCTCAGTGGCTCTCCCTCCCTGCAGGGAGTCAGGATTTATTTTAATGGTCCGCCCTCAAAGGCTACTGGATCCTAGCCAGGAGGGACAGCTGAGGGGCCTAACACCGAGGGAGGCCTGAAGAGAAAGAACAAGAAAGTGGGCCTTCTCGGCAGCGGCCCCTCGGCTCTGGAACATCCTCCCCCCAGAAATTTGTCTGGCTCCCTCGCCGGGCATTTTTAAGAGCCAACATAAGACCTGGGTCTTCAGACAGGCCTTCCCTCTTGTCGATACCTAACTTATTTCACCATCCTCTAGTGTATTAATATTGTTGTTTTCTTTTCTTTTAATACAGTATTATTGTCATTCGGTCTAAATGAGCGGGATATAAATTAAGACATTATTGTTGTCATTTGGTCTAAATGAGCGGGATATAAACTAAATGCATAAATAAATAGGTGCAAGAGCTGTTGACGGACAAAACAGGTTATGGTGGCTGAACTTTGGGAGTCATCCTTCAGCTCCTTCCATTAAGACAACAGTTTTGTTTTGTTGCTTTCAGACTGATGGCATCTTTTAAAAGTCCAGTGATGAGGTAATGAAAGGGGCGGATGGAGAATGGAGACGACACAGGCTGGCTATTCCCAGCCCAACTGGGAAATGACTTCAAATAGCTTGCTTTCTTCATTGTCAGCCTTTGTCCCAAGGCTGCAATCATATTTTTTTATTTTCTGAAAGGTGTCATAAGAGCCACAGAAGTTAAGGTCTGATGATAGCCTCTTAAAAGAACTAAATGTATATGTCATGTACCATCAAGCTGCATCTGACTTATAACAGTAGAGTTATAAGCTGACCTATAACAATAAACAGTCAATTTGAGTTGGAAGCAGACATATAACAATAGATGACAATAGAGTTTTCATGCTATGTCGTCTTACCCTTGCTATCCGTGAGTGACTCTCCGTGGCTGAGAGAGCATTTGAACCCATACCTCCTGAGTGCTCATCCTATGCTTTATCCATGACACCATGCTGGCCATCAAACAATGGCCGAATGGTTATTCCGGATCATCTGTGCTGCAGTCGAACTAGGAGCCACGTCAAGCACGCTTCTCTAGAGGAATTGAGTGGGGGAGTCTCCGGGTGGTATATAAAACTGTTGGCAGTTTAAAACTATTATTGGTAACAGTTTTAAGGTGCCAACAGTTCTCCTTACCAACCGGTTAAAACTATCCTTTTAGCAGATAATAGAAAATGATTAATTCCATTAATGGTTGGGGGGGGTCTGATGGGGTGACAAAGGTTCAGATGATTAGATTAGTATATATAATGACAAAGCAAGCCATTATCTTTGTTAAGACCTAGAGAGAGTGTGCTGAGCTACCTAATATATTGAGGGTTGTTGTGGGTTTTTCGGGCTGTTTGGCGGTGTTCTGGAGGTTTTTCTTCCTAACGTTTCGCCTGTCTCTGTGGCCGGCATCTTCAGAGGACAGGAGTTAGAACATTCTGGTGTAATGTAGCTACAAATGCTCAACAATCCCACACACAACACTGCATGGAGGGCGTGTTGATTGGCCCTGCCGATCTGTTGTGTTACTATGTCAGGTGGATATTTGAGTCTGAGGAATGTCTCTACCGACTCTTCCAGAAAGGAGTCTCTTTCACACGTCTTGAGCAGATGCAATGGGATCATAGTCCTTGGCTGTAAACCATGAACTTTTTAAAAGTGTTTGGGGTGAGAACTGGAGGCATGTCTATATGACTGTCGGCAGCCAAGTATTACGACACCACCGCGTCTGTTCAGAACTGTCTGAAAGAGACTGCCCGCCTGGAGGGGAGGTGATGATTTCTTCTCCCACCTCCTCTTTTTCTACTTTGCCGGTTGCATTTCACAGGGGTGTCACAGGATTTGATATTGGGTGGTGCCAAAAATAAGTGATTCTGTTTCCTACTGGTTGGACATAAACCCTGCACAAAGACCCTTGTGCGACAAGTTTCTGTCTTTAACGATTCTTTTAACCGAGTTCTGGATAGTCTGCCCACATCTTCCTGCATCAACAGACCCTTCCCTGAAGCAAGAGCCTTTGAGTCTGATGAAGGGTGAAAAAACAATCTTTCTGCAGTTCATGACAGCCATGCTTGTGAGTCCTCACATTATCTTTCCTCCAGTGACTCAGCGGAGTCTCATTGGAGGAAGTAAGCGATACAAGAAATGTGAGCCTAAGCCCTTCTGACAGATTAATGCAGCGCTCAAGACGGAGACAATAGCAGTTTAGCCCAGTATTTACATGATGCCACAGAGGTAGGGCTTGCACCTTCAACGAGGATTTGAAGTTGTCAAGGTAGTGTAAGCCTCCAGTTTCTCTTACTCTGTTATGATCAACAGAAGTACTGTTGCTATGCTAGCTCCTTTTTAAAAAGAAGCATATCTTTTGTTTATTTACTTTATACCGAAAGTTCCAAAGTATCTCGAGAATTTGTGCAACGACGCCCCCTCTAGTACGAACTGCAAGGATTATAGCAGGGAGGGGCGTTGAAAAGTCCAGAAACCATATTGTTGCCCTGGGACCCTTCGAGAGCTGCGCAGAACACCAAAAACGAAACTGGAAGTAGATGCAAGGCTATTCTGAAAAGCAATGCAGGAAGCCATAGGCTGACTATCAGGAAAAAGCTATTAACTGTAAGAGCAGTATGACAGTGGAACCCAGGACTTTGGGAGGTGGTGAGTGCAGGAACACTGGTGGCATTCAAGAGAAAATAGGACACCCATCTGTCAGATCTGCTTGGATTTGGATCCCTGCCGTGAGCAGGGGCCCCCTTCCAACCCCATGATTCTCTGATCCTATGATTCTATTTAATACAGAAATCACTGTTCTCAGAAGGTGCACTAGAAACCATTTATTTTTAAAGACTAAAAGAGAAATTTGAGGAAAGGCTAGGGACACAAAAAGCAGAGATGGTGTTTTTTTTATGCAGCCCCAGGTCCACATTTTACTCCGCCCTCTGCTATAGCAACTTTTAAAGGCTGCAATTGTTGCTTGCTGGGAATTTGCTTCCTAATTATGGAGACCTTAATAAGGTTTTTAAGTTGTATGAGGCAGGTGAAGGGCTCGCTTACAACTCTCACCTCCCCAGGAGTTTCCATGGTGAAGCAGGAACATAAGACCTGGTCTCCTGCCTCCCAGTCTGAACCTTTGCCCACAACAGCCCAGTGGCTCTTTAGAGGCTACTGTGCTTTTAATTAAAAGCTTCCTGTAGCTCCAGCCTCTTCTTGTCCAATAAAGTGGGGATAGTGATGAATAGCCCCTTAATTAAGCCCCTTCAGTTTCTTTGCACAAAGGAGAATGACGTTATTTTCAGTCACGTTAAATTTGCTTTCCTCCCTCTCTCTTTGTGGCATTTCCGTTATGAAATCGGAATGAAAGGGGCATTTTGCTGCTGACCTCGTTGTGCAAATGCCATTGCTTTTTTTCTCTGTCCTCTCCCTTCCACCACTTCTGACCTTCCGAAAGACGATCCAGCCCAGCCATGCTTCCAGACCCAGAAACTAGGTGCTTTCTAAGAGTCCTAAAGAAATCTCATCGACCTCCAGGGATTAAATCAGAAGCCTGTGGCATTTATCCCAGTAAAGGGTTAAGTCTCTCATCGGCCTCCAGGGATTAAATCAGAAGCCTGTGTTCATCACAGCTGGCATTTATCCCAGTAAAGGGTTAAGTCCAGAATGAAACCAAACCATCTCAGACAATCCTATTAAAATTCTTCTGCGGATCAAAGTATAAGTCTTTTCATTGTTGCAAACATTCATGGCAACACCAGCTTGTCTGTTTCTACAACCTTTATTTATTTACATTGCTTCTGTGTTGCCAAATGTGCAAAATACTTCAGAGTTGTTGTAACATCCAAAGTCTTACAATTGTAAAGAATACTTTAGGCACAAAATACTTCCATGCAACTTATAAAAAGATGCAGGTATTAAAACCCAACTTGTGCACAGATACTTAAGTCATGTCATATTTGAGTCCAAACTACTACAGCATGCATACGATAAAATAAAATAGCAAAAGGAATGTTTCAGGTTATATTGTAAAAATACAGATGCAGGTATTAAAACCCAACTTGTGCACAGATACTTAAGTCATGTCATATTTGAGTCCAAACTACTACAGCATGCATACAATAAAATAGCAAAAATAATGTTTCAGGTTATATTGTAAAAATACAGGAGCTCGTAGCCTAATAATAGCTGGCTGGATAGCTTAATGGTTTAAGAATCTGGTTGTGGAGGCAAAGATTAGGAATTCAATTCCCCACTGTGCCTCCTATGAGTGGAGCCAAACTGGGTAGCCTTGGGCCAGCTGCACAGTCCCAGAAAATGCCCCCAGAAGAATGGGAAACCACTTCTGAGTATTTTCCACCTAGAAAAGCCTGAAATGGGTTACAGGAAGTCAGAACTGACTTGACAGCACACAATGATCTAAAAAGGCAGAGAATACATCTCTATGTATTCATCAGTGAAAAATGAAAGCACTGACTTTGCTATGAGAAAATGCCTCGCCAGCATTCTGCAAGGACTTTTTGATTCCTCTGACATTAGCAGTCGGGGTATTTTCGAGCCACCACTTTGGCAAAACACTTTCTGAGATCTGCGGCCCGAGGATCAGATGAATGGCGTCCTTGAAAGAAACATAGGAGACACGGAATAAAAAAGAACACTGCTAAAACATCTTCTGAAAGCAAAGCTTGAAAACTTGACGTTGGGGATGACAATTCCCACAATCCCCCAGCCAGTGGCCAACCCATCTGGGGGAATCTGGGAATTGTAATCCAAGACAAGTAAATCACATCCCCAAGCTTGGTCTGATAGGCTTTATGGGCCTCTCCTCTTGAGGCCAGCAGCAACAGCATCTTATAATAATCTTATAATCCTAGAACTGCAGAGTTGGGAGGGACCCCCAAGGATCATCCAGGCCAGCCCCTATCAAGGAGGCACAGTAGGGAATTGAACTCCCAACCTCTGGCTCCACAGCCAGGTGCCTACACTGGCAGAAACAAAAAGAAAAGCAATGAGAGTTAGCCACCGTGAAGCCGATGCTGGAAACTGCCTTGAGTTGGCTCTTTGTCGGGCACATGAACAAAGTCAGCTGATGCATCAGCTGAAAAACAATGAATGGCAAGTGCTCACGGGAATGGCGAGAAGGGACCAAGGGTGACTGGAATTGGGAACAAGGGCAGGGTAAAATTCAATTATTCCCTACCCATCCCCAGAAACTAATTGAAGCTCCATGTAAATGGCTTTTCACCTGTTGACAGAGATAGAAGAATTTCCCATAATTATCAAACTGTGGAAGCTGCCAGTTTCTTCCTGTCACTAGCTTGACTTCACAGCCTACAGGAGTTTTCTATCAACCTCCTTATCTAACGACACACCGAGACAGGCAAAACACATCGGCTTCATAGGCACTGAAAAAGGGAATGGAGCGATGGGTTTTTGAAGTGTAGCCGCATGCCCTGGCTATTATTGTTTCAGAGAGCTCTCTTGGGGGCGTGTGTCAGAGATCATCATCATCTTACTTGTGGATGAAACATACCTCAATGGCCCCCATCATTATCGGGGCTTTTGGAAACAGGCTCAAGAGACTTCACGCAATATTGGAAGCAGTGGCAGATTCCAGAAATAACATCATCAGAGCTACAAAAACTGGCAATACAGTGGTGTCTTGCTAGACGATGATAATCCATTCCACTGAAATCGCTGTCTAGCGAAATCATTGTCTAGCGAAAAGCAAATTGTCGTCTAGCGAAAATCAGTTTGCGAAGCAGGGACCAAACATTGTCCAGCGAAATTCCCCCATAGGAATCACTGTTTTGCGAATTGCTATAGCAGTTGCAAAAAGTCAATGTCTAGCGAAAAAACTGTCATGTGGGGTAACTGTTTAGCGAGGCACCACTGTATTAGGAACAGCATATGTACTATGTTGATGTTTAACCGATACTTAGGTTTTTGGTTAAAACCTGCATCTGTTATGTAACACCAGTCAATGTTTTTATCATTTTAATTGACTGTGCCTGCTGTTTTTGAATAATAATATTAAATAAACTTTGAACTCTAGAGCTAGAAGGGATCTTATGGGTCATAGAGTGCAGCCGCTGCCAAGGAGACCCAGTGGGGGAATCGAACTCCCGTCTTCTGGCACCCCACCTAAAGCAATGAGCTCTTTGACAGTTCTCCTGGTTGTGATCACTTTTGTGCCTGACATAGGATCAGACTAGCCGAACGCTGCTGCTAGGCAAAGCAGCTGCCTCAGAACAGATATTGCCCATCAGGGATGGCCGCAAATTCCTTGTTATTTAGTCTGTGGGTTTTGTATATCTACTGCCGGAGGTGACAAAAGATGGGAGAGCAAGCACAGTAACAACAAGAAAGCCACCGTCTGCTTTTTGAAACCCACCTTGAAGTCCTTTATGTCTGTTTCTCTTCCTAGGGGCCTACGATCTTCCCATCCCGCGGAAACAATCTTTCATCTACAACACCGACAACAAATGGGTGCCGGTGTTATGAAACAATGTGTCCTGCAACTTGGGTTGGCCAACCTTCAGTCTGTCCTGGTTTGGTTGCATGTGTGTGTGTTGTGTTGTGTTGGAAGTTCTGCATCACTGTTAAAAAGAGCCCTGCGCTCACTAGCCTCTGAACAAGAAAACCATACCCACCCATTTGGAAATCCTGTACTTCCTTCGAGTGGGTCCCCAAAGCACTCCCGTTTTGCAAGACGTCCATGAGAAGGGTGTTTGGATTTAAAAACAGATGTCATTTACTGCCGGCTTTGAGCTGACGCTAGATTGTTTGCGCCGTTTTTCATTTATAAAAGCGAAGAAGCCCACCATGTACGAGTCCTCACATGCATATGTACATGTACCGTATATTTACATCATGTGGATCAAAATCCACTTCTTCAGACACTTTTGGGTGAGTTTTTATCCACAAATCACACACTTAAACAAGTCTGTTAGTTTTTCAACTGCCACAATATGTTTTCCTTGATATTTCTTTCCCCTGCTTTTTTTCACTTTTATTTTGCCAATATGTGGGGAGAAGGTTGCTGGACTACATTGGCTTTTGTCCTGAACCAACTGAGGTGCCAGAGCTTCGAAAGTTATCTTTCAAAAGTAATTTGTTCCTGTTACTTCTTACTGTGTTTGAGGAGTATTATTATTATTATTATTATTGCTATTTACAACATTTAAAAAGGTGGTTTTGTTATTTAAAAAAACAACTCGCCGTTGGTAAGAGAATGGCATAAAGCATGAAACATCCTGATCAAAGCGTGTCAAAAAGGTGATTAAAATAGCCTTGAAAAAGCAAGAAGCATTACTTTTAACAATAAAGTAACTTCATTTCTATCTGCGGTTACTGCTAAAAGGTTACAAAAATGGGTAACTTGTCACAGGTAAGTATGTCATAGTAACTAGTTACCTCCAAGCTGAATGTCTTCATATGGTTTCGGAGGATTTGGTACAACACAGTAAATTGGGGTTGTGAGTTGCCATTTTGGAACAGCTTTGTATTTAATCATTTTATCTAATTGGCACTATTGGCAAAGAAGTGTATGTAGAAGAGTCAGCAGGCTGGTAGGGTCCACCCACTACAGAAAGCGGGCAGAGAGAAGCCCCTTTCTCATCAGCCAGCACAGAAATCAGCAAACTGCTGGCAGGCTAGTAAAAGACTAGTCACATATGTATTCTATTTTATTTATCTAAAATATTTCTATGCCACCTTTCTCTCCAAAAGGACCCAAGGCAGCTTACATCACTAAAACATACTATTTTGGGGAGTGTATTTAATGTTTCCCAAAGACCAGGGAACTGTGTATGGAGAGAAATATAGAGGAGAAGAGATAGCGGTAGGTTGCATTGCAACACTGCAGTGTTTTCACTTATGCCTGGAAATATTAGCTTTTCTGCTGTCTGGTCTACAAACGTTTTCCTTAAATCCTATGTGTGTGCCAGTAGAAGGGGAGGTGACTGTGTATGATTGGGTATATAAGGATTGGGCACACAGGACTTACTATGTTCCCATTGATAAAGCAGGTTGTGACCCGGATTCAGTGCAGTTACTTTAATAGCAATAGGTCCTTCTCAAGAATGGACTTGCCATTTTTCTGCTGTAAAAGCAGGATCTGCCACTCTGCCTTTTAAAGCAACCTGGCCTGAGCAAAGTAAGGAAGTAATGGTTTCCCCATCGCTTGATCGCATCGCTAGGGAAATAAAAGGAGATTCTTGCCGTATCGCTGTTAAAGCAACAAGTTCTGTTCTTGCTTTCAGTGGGTGGCAGGCGGGCACGTTGTCTGTTTTCACAAGAACAAAACCAAACGAGTGCTGTGGTATCAGGAGTCTGAATATGGCTGCTGGAGAGCTCAGTGGTTTAAGTCTCCAGACGTTGGGAGTTTGATTCCCCCATTGGGCCTCTTTGACAGGGGCTGGACTAGATGATCCTTGGGGGTTCCTTCTGGCCCTGCAATTCTAAGATTATGATTATCTTTAATGAACCACCGGCTACCTCTGTGGTTTAGGCAGAGGTTGGGCGTTTGATTCCCCTCCTTGGCAGGGTCTGGATTCCATGATGATTTGGGCTCCTTCGAGCTCAGCAGTTCTAAGTTAATTATATAAATTTATTGTGATCTGCAAGTGCCCACATCAAAATAAATTGTTAGTCTTAAAGACGCCATTGCTCCTATGTTTTTGTCATCCCAGCTCGGAAGGGCGGTCACTCAGTGGCCGACCAGACTTGCCAACAGGCAAGGCACTTTCCTCCCTGGCATCTCTAAACTTTGACCTTCATCTGAGGACGTGGCAAATTCTTGTGCAAGCCGTCCGGAGCTGTTGAACTAGAGACTGGAAATTTTGCTGGGCTGTACTAACTGAGCACTTTTGGGAGCCGGGAATCCACAGTGTCATGGACTTGTGGACTACGTGCGTTTATGTCTTGAGTGCAGACCATCATGGCTGTGGCCACCTGCGTGCATGGAACTTCAATGCGCCTTGAAGCGAACCTCATAAAAGGTTACTGACTGCCTAACCTCTGATGTTTTGAGACGTGACCGGCAAGGAAATATTCTTTTAAGCCAGGCCAAACCAGCCATTTCCGGTACTCAGTGGACTCCGGCTGCTTCTGCAAGAGCCGTGGGCCATTTGACCCAATCCTTTGCTGCTTCTCCTGTGACCTCAGGTGTTATGTCTTCATTTTTAAATGATGGGGTCTCAAGGTGAAAAGTCAAAAATGTGGACAATTGCTTTGCTTAGGCGAGCCTCTGAAAGTTTATCAGTTGGCCTCTATGAAACAGTTGGGTGCGATTCTCCAAAAGAGTGTGTCGCAGTGTGGAGGGGTATCCTCCAGACGTGTTGATACCCACCACCCCAACCAACCTGTGACCATTTGACTCTGTTTTCATAGAGGGAACCACCCTCGCCTGCTTCCTTGAAATGCTTCACCCTATCGCATCCAACTTGCTCCAATAAGTCATTGATCTTTTCTGGCAAGTTCTGCATAACCAGAAAGAAAAAAAAAGATAGACGAGGCGGCTGCACAACCTGGTTTAGAGAGGACAACCATCTATGTGAAGTGCTAATAGAAGGCAGTCAACTGTGCATCATGGCTGCCTCCGATGGAACGGCTCAGTGGTAAAAAATTCATTTAGAAGATGAAAAAGGAAGAGCAGGAGTCTCTCAGAAAGCATTGAGGCAGCTTCCTATTTTAACAGGAAGCTCAGTCATGTTAGGCCTTCATGCTAGGCCTTTTTCCAGGTGAGCCCCATTTCGCTGCAGTAGGTGAAGGTCTGTTCAGTGGAATTCCCAAATAAGAGAATTTTAAGAGTTGATGTCCAAGAAATCTGAAGGGCACGTGCCTAATCCCTCCTCGATCATCCAACTCACTTGGTGACCTTGGGCCAATAATCTGCCTGAATGATTTCCCAGGGCTGCCATGAGGATAGAATGTGAAGAAAGACAACTGTATACAGTGGCACCTTGCTAGACGACAACCCCCGCTAAATGACAAATCTGCATAACAATGACATTTTGCGATTGCTATAGCGATTTGCAAAACAGTGACTTCAATGGGCAATTTTCGCTGGACGTTGATTTGGTCTGTGCTTCACGGACTGTTTGTTCGCAAGATGACAATTTCTACAGCTGATTGTCAGCTTCGCAAAATGGCTGCCCTGTGTTTTCCGGACTCATGCTTTGTAGGACAGCCATTTTTACAGCCGATCGGCACTCGCAAAATGGCTTCCCTATGGGCGATCTTCGCTGGACGACGAGGTGTTTTCCCCATTGGAACACATTAAATGGGTTTCAATGCATTCCAATGGGGAATCGCATTTCGCATGACAATGATTTCGCTAAACAGCCATTTTCACGGAACGAATTATCGTCATGCGGGGCACCACTGTATCACAAATCCAGCTCAGTGAAGAAAAGGCAGGATAGAACTAGAGCTAATAAATATAGTTTATAATACAGTATCTACATTCATATAAATTATTACACACAAATGTTATGCCATAATCGCCCTTTGTTGTCTTGTTTTGGGGCCATACCTAAGTACAAGCAATCCTTTTTCCAGTGAAGACCTGGCTTCCAGATGTAGTTCTGCTCCCCCTGAACTGTACCTGGGGAGATGACATCTCTTGAAGCCCACATGTACTCTTCTGCAATGTTTGCAAAAGAGGTGGCAGAAAGAAAGAAAAAAAAGAATGGTCGGTTGCTGTAGATGGGATTACCTGCATGGGAATATAGCTGTTCGAAGGGAGAGAGGAGGAAGAAATAGCCCCAGCCCTGATTTACACACAGCCCTGGGGGTGCTTTCTGTGTCTGAATCTTTATTACCATATAATATACAAAAAAACAAAAAAAAGTAAAATAAAACACAAAGACAACCCTGGGGAAATAAATGTGAGGCAGCCTGGTTTTGAAATGCTCTACCTTCCTCCATGTCATTTCATCATAAAACACGACATTGTTACATAAAAAGGCACAGCTTTTATATTTATAAAACAGCGGAACAGCGTTGGAAATGTACAAAACAGTTATTCTTGTCGGGTACGTCTTTGGGGGTTATTTACATCCAGGGCTTCGAGGGCAAGAGGCAAGGCAGTGTGAGGGAGTTTTCTACGTCTGCGGCAGCGTTCAAACATGGTTCGCACGGGGTGCTTTCAGATGAGGCATTTATTATGAAACTGGCCAGCCTCATTTGCAGGATTTTCTGGAGCCAGACGGTCACGTTCAGATGACAGTGTCTTCCATTTCGTAACATTTCCATTTGCTCTCCTTGCTTCTTCTGTCTTTCCTCCTCCCCCGCCCCTTACCGCAGAAAATCCATAAGAGAGAAAATAGTGAAATAATTGCACCATGTCTGGTGATGCTTAGCATCCTCCTGGTTAGAAGCGCCCACGTTTTCTTTCCTGTTCGTTTGACCGTTTTGCCTGAACAATACTTTGGTTTTCGCGCATCAAACCCGACCCGTGATGGGTCACAGCTATGCCCTGGCTGTTGCTGAACAGCTGCAAAGGGTTTCCAGAGCGTGAAACAATGAAAAGAGGTCAGATTTTTCTTCCCTGGCAAAAGGATCTAAATAATAATAATAATAATAATAAAAATAATAATAATAACAAAGTATAAAATAATAATAATAATAATTATAACAACAAACTCCTCAACGGACAGCAGTTCCACGTTAATAATGAGAATAGATTTTTCCAGGCGCTCTTCACATGGGGAGCCACGATACTGTCTTTCTCTTGCGCGGAAGTCCCTCCTGGTGGGACTATGTCCATGTTAAACGCTCCAAGCCGGATGGCCGTGACGTAGAGGTGGTGGTACGAACTCCTTCGCTTCGCTAGTGACATCAGAGCATAAGTGCAGCCACCGGAGATTTCAAAGCTCCTTGAGGGTTACCTGGAACTTCTCGTTGGCTTCCACCACGTCAAACAAAAAGGCCATGTGGTTGCTGTAGTGCTGGATGATGTTGTTGTCCATGTTCACCAGGATTCTGGAACAGAAGCAAGAAAAAGGCAAACGGTATAAGAGATCCTGAATTCAAAGCCTTGCTTTCGTAGTTCACCTTAAGAGCTTCACCAAACGGGAGAATTCGGCCATCTTAGATTGACGGGAAGGAACATCCTTGCAGAGACAGAGGAGATTAAACTAAACATATATTTTGGGCAGGAAGTGAAGAAAGCGGCCTTTCCAAGATGTAAATAACACACTGGACAGTGGGTCTCTGACGCATGAGGGAAAGTCCCAAGCCTGTATAATCAGGAACTGGGTACGTTATTTTAATATTTCACATTTCTCATCTGCATTGTGGATCGGTCAGTTCATACCTTCTCATGAGCATTTGTTGTCAGCTGTTGTTACTAACTGTGGTTTTTGAGGTATATGATTTTTTTAAAGGAGTGCTTTACCGTTGCAATGAGTTACCATGGGGAAAACAAGGATTTTAACCCATATCTCCTGAAACTCTCTCCTCTACGACTCACTGGCTTTTTACTCTCTGCACAGAGAAACTTTTTAGGTACTGAGAAGCAGCGGTGGGAAAATGTCAGAGTTATGGCGACGTTTTCTTGTTGTAGTGGTTAAGATGCTTTTCACTTAGCTATGAGATTATCAACTGGCCATAAAATCAAAGACAGGTTTGATCGCTCCCCCCCACACACACTTCACTTCCCCTTCCCTCTTTTCTGCAAAGGCACAGTTTCATGGCCTTGAGGAAGAGTTGTCCATACCACACACTGCAAAAGATGAAACCTCCAGATGGGTTGCTTTCGAGCAGCTGAGGCACTCTATCGATGCCCTAAACCAGAGGTTGTCGACCCCTGGTCCGCGGTCCGGTGCCGGTCCGTGGCTTGAACCAGACCGGGCCACGGAGACAGACCTTCCACCCCCTGCAAGCACTCCCCTCCCCACAGCTGCTTTGCATGTGCGTGCCAGCGTGAACACTCCCCCACTCCTTCACGCATGCGCCTGAGCGAAGGGGTGGGCAGGCGTGCAGGCACTCCTGCACATGTGTGAAGGGGTGGGGAAGTGCTCTTGCGCTGCCACGCACGCTCCCCCACTGCCTTGCGTATGCGCCTGAGAGAGCGCATGCCCGTGCAAGCGTATGGGGCGTGCCCCGCCTTCCTCAGAGGCTCAGCCGGTCTGCAGCCCCAAAAAGGTTGGGGACTGCTGCCCTAAACAGCTGGAAGCTTCACAGTATCTGACTGTACCCTTTGACATAGCAAAGGGTAGCACTTAGCCAACCACCCTCAGGCCAAGCGCCTTCAGCAGTGAGTCTCCTTCCTCTCTGAGTTGCCCATAAGGCTTAAGTAACAAAACTACATTTATTTCTTGCAATAAATGTCTTCCGAAGGAGTTCCTTCCTACCCTAGGTCTGTGCAGCTGGCCAGCCCACTTCAGTTGACTGGCCTGGCCGCTCCAAAAAACCCTCCTGCTTTGCTTCTTAGAGAAACCGGATTGTTCTCAGGCCGCAAGATGTGGCTGGACGGCCACGTTTTGGCCCTTTCTTCCTCTAGCCTGAATCCCTCTTCTAGAGCGTTGCTGCTCCGGTGTTTGGGCACCAGACACACCCTCGTACGGCTGCCTGCCTTTCTTTTAAACTCAAGCCCTGGACTGGGGCCAAGGACAACAATGAGCTCAACTGCAAAGCATGGATTGGGAGGTGCGGGGGAAGGACTCGGGGTGTTCGATGGTATCTCACTTACTCCGCGGAGAGGACTTCAAGCAAACAGAGAAAAGAGAACTCTTAGCAACAGAGGAGGAGATGTTCCCCGTCTGTCAGGCAAGGGGTGAAGGCTGCGGTTTGGTGGAGAACCTGGGGCGGTTCAGAGACACAGCTGTTTCTTTCAGAAGCCGCTCTGGAAAACCTCAGCAAGCTTGTTCCCATGGATTTAAATCTGTTACTCCAAAACCAGAGGGCCTTATTGCTTCTTCTGTAGACGAAACTAGCCCACGTCAGCAAGTTAACTATGCTTGGCAGCAACTCCTTGAAAGAAAAGGACTGCAATCTTGTCACAAAGCTTACCTAAATGATATATATATTTGGATTGATGGTAGTCCCCTGCACTCTCGTGGTGCTACTGAGGTCTCAGCTAGAGATGGGGACGAAGCACTTTGTGCCGGGCCATCTTAATTCATCAGCACGGCACCACAGGCTCAGCGCATTCCCAACACACACACCTCACCAGCAACTCCACTCACCTGCTGGTGTGCGCTGCTTGTTCCCTCCCCATCGTACGATCTTCTAGTCCTGGCAGGAACACGGAGTTCCCTTCTCCACCTCCTCCAGCAACTGCCCACTCAGACGAGGAGGCCAGACAGGGATTCCTGCAGCACCGCCTGCGACTGGGTAGCTGCTGGAGGAGGCAGAGAAGGGAAGTCTGAGCTCCTGCCAGAACTGGAAGATCATGTAATGGGGAGGGAACAAGCAGAGCACAGGATCTTCTAGTCCTGGCAGGAACACGGACTTCCCTTCTCCACCTCCTCCAGCAACTGCCCACTCAGACGAGGAGGCCAGACAGGGATTCCTGCAGCACCGCCTGCGACTGGGTAGCTGCTGGAGGAGGCAGAGAAGGGAAGTCTGAGCTCCTGCCAGAACTGGAAGATCATGTAATGGGGAGGGAACAAGCAGAGCATACCAGCAGGTGAATGGAGGAGCGCTCTGTGTGTGTGTTGTTGGGGAGGAAACAAGCAGTGCATACCAGCAGGTGAATGGAGGAGCTGTGTGTGTGTGGGGGGGGATGCACAGCACCTGTGGTGCTGCACCAACAAATTATGGGATGACCCAGCATGAAGTGTTTTATGTCCATCTCTAGTCTCAGTTGGATGACGGCACCTGTGGTGCTGCACGAACAAATTATGCGATGACCCAGCATGAAGTGCTTTATGTCCATCTCTAGTCTCAGTTGGATGGGACTGTGAGGCAACTGGGGGAGAAGCAGAACTGCAGGCTTTAACTAGTTCAGAGCCAATGACTTCATTCACACATAAGCAGAAATCTACGGAATCCTGGCTTATTGCTTGCAAGGCGTGTCTTAGTGCATGGCTCCAGATTGTTTCAGCCCAGTGGGAGGAGCAGAAAGTAACCAGAAACTAACTAGAAGTCCAAAGCTTAGTGTTAGCATCCAAACTGGGCCTCCTAGTTAATTGCTCTCCAACAAGCTGGGAACGGGAACCGAACTGCAAACATTGTGTCCATGGTTTGAGATCATGATTTAAAGCAGTGTGTCTCAAATTGGGGTCCTAAGATGTTCTTGGACTACAGTTCCCGGAAGCTTTCACCACTTTCTCTGCTGGCTAGGCTTTCTGGGAGTTGCAGTCCAAGAACATCTGGAGACCCAAGTTTGAGAAACACCGAATTACAGGACAGGTGTTAGTGGACAAAGCTCCACTATCCGGTCGGCCACAAAGCTTGCTAGCAACTCAGCTTGTTTTTAATAGAGATTCGGACTTGAGGCTTTGCACTCAGGACTTGGAACCAAAGACTCAGACTTGGGACTTGAATGCAAAGACTTGCCAATATCTCTGGAATAATGACAAAGGTTATAACCAAAAGGAGGCGAACAAGGGACTAAAGAAGAAGATTTTAACAACTTTTGGTTTCTGATTATGAGCGTTGACTTTAAATGCAACTTTCTGGTAAAAGGCACTTCTACTAATACTCGAGGAAGTATTATATGTATTATAATATTAGATCTATAAGTTCATTTGATTTCAATCACTTACTGGGATGAAAGGCCAAACATTATTATTGGAGGAAAAAGAAGGAAAACAGGTTTTTCCTTTAAATGGAGGCAATGAAGATGCATTGTGACAGGAGAAAGGAAGGACATGTTCCTTGGGAGAATTTAAACTTTTCAAAGGAATTTTAAATATTAAAAAGAGGATATCCAGGCAACGTTGGTTGATCTTGTTTGAGCATTTTATCATTTTTTGCTCCCTGCGATGTGTTTTTAAACAGCTTCAGAGGTAATCAGAAACAGACACGAGAGGCACATTTTCTGGGGAATGTAACAATTGGAAAAAATAATTATAATTTACAAGCTACACATATGGCAACTTGCTTCTTTTAGTGTGCTGTAGTGACCCACCCACGCACCCCCGTTCTATTCAGTCATCAGCCTCAGCCTCTTAAAACTGCAGAACTGGAAGGGACCCTATAGAATCAAGTCCATAAGGGGAAAGCTATTTAGAAAGGGAGAAGCCAACTTTTTCCAGGTATTCAAAGCAAGTTTGGATCAAGAGGTGGCAAACCTGCCCTCTTGTCTTCCCTCACAGTTTGTTTATTTATTTATTTATATTATTTATCTGCCACCTTTCTCCCCATGGGGGGGGGGATCCAAGGTGGCTCGCAACAGATAAAAACAACAAAACACACTTTTACAAGACGATATAGATATTGTATTAAAAATAATGAAAGCTGTATTGCAATTAAAAACCAAGGTTAAAAACAATTTTAAAACTTTTTTTAAAAAAAATCTGTAAGTTAAAAACCAGTGTTCCTGGATGGGCTGATAGACTTTGACCAACAGGAAAACAGAAAGAAAGGAAGGAAGGAAGGAAGGAAGGAAGGAAGGAAGGAAGAAAAAGAAAGAAAGAAAGAAAAAGAAAGAAAGAAAGAAAG